ACATGACAAAAGCAATTCCGCACACATTCGTTCACATTGCGTGTGTATATACATACATATATATATATATATATATTCCCATATTTATAACCGGCATAAAATATTTGATCTCATGGTTACAAAAAAATTAAATAGTTGATCTTGATGGGACCGAATTCTTATTATGCCTCGACATAAAATTTTTATATTTGATAATAACCATTGATAAAAATATAACTATTGAAATCTCGTTTATACATATATAAATATATATACGTATATATAATATAACTCATAAACGGAATAGTACTAAATTCTGTTAATTAACCAAAAAATGAATTAGTTAAGATTACATGCAAACTTGTATATTTCACAATATGTAAAGGACGTACTCATTTACTTTGTCAAAAAACCTATTCGGATTTAAATTCACGAGGACGATATCGTTTTCACTCAGCTATATCATAAAACGAATAATAGATATAGCAGTACAGTGAACAATAAGCGATGCGAATAAATTTGCTGTTATTTTTTTTCCTCATTCATTTAATAAGTCGAAGTAATAATTCATATATAATTCTCTCTCTCAATTATTCGTTAATTCATCACTCATCAATTTCAACCAGATACTTGTTTGAAAAAATTTGAGAGTGAGATGTTAGTCTAGACTTAGCTACATAATTCATATGGTTTATAGCTTTCACTAGGAGAAAAAAAAATAAAAAAATAAACAACCTATCTAACTGGGCATAAGTGGGCAGCTACAGCTAGCTAGTTAACGTTATTTGATGAGTGTGGGTTTAGGGATATAGGTTAGTTAGAATTAGTTAGACAAAATGCCGGTGATGAACTATCTAATTGTCCAATTAATTATATCGAATAAGCACAAACTCTTTCCACCACTATATGCCAATTTAATCACGTGGGTCTATTGCTTTTATTTTTACTTTTTGGCAATAAATATTGGAACCACATTTCAAAAATAGTTAAAAGAAATAAAAATTATTCATTCTTTAAGTTTTGAACGTTAGTACAAATTTTAAAGTCTTATTAGAAAGTTTTTTTGTTTTTTTTTTTGTTTTAAAAGTCACAAAAATGTAGCTTTAACGAACAACTCTTCCAAAAAGTCAAAATACTTACGAAAAATTATGCAAACACTTTTATAATTAGTTTTGGATTAAAGGAAGTTGAAAGCTGTTTTTTAAAAAGCAATGTCAAATAGATCTCACCCAAGCCATGCCCTTTTCTTTCAAAAGCATACGATCCGAACAACTTACAAGTTTAATTAATTCTGACCCCTAAAAGACCTTAAACATAGGAATAATAAGGCTTTATTTTTTTTTTGGAGCGTAAAACAAAGCCTTGTGTTTACCCCGTTTTCCATCTAGCAACTTAGGCTTTTTAGATATAACTGATTTAGTAATCTAGTTTAGTATCAAAAGACTTGTACGTATTACGTCCTTATTCATATCTAACCGTCAAGTACTATTGGAACGTCACAAGTTTATCTGATGGCAAAAGGAGAGCTTTGAGGAGCAAAAAGAGAAATCTAATTCTATCACCCTAGGCTACACGTCCGCATTCAAGGATATAGTCTATATATATATATATATATATACACACACACACATACATATATGTGTGTGTATATATATGTACGTGTAATAGGATAATGAGAAAGGTACTGATATGGGTTGGCTCCGGTTGAAGAATATTATTCAAATTGGCTTATTAAGCTTTATAAATATTTAGAGAGTTTCTCTTACAGGTAGTCTTATTAGTAGTATTAGTTTTTATATGTTGTATCTGATTAAAATTACATTATATTAAAAAATATGTAGAATAAGAAATTTTTAATATAAATCTAACAGTTAAAAATAAAGAACTATCGAGAATTTATTTTTTCTGATCCTATTGAAAAAACTCCAAAATATTTAAGGTCAAATTTGTGTAATATTCTCCGCTACCGGTATTCTGGAAAAATCCATATGCCTTTTCCAATATTTATTCGTTGGTGCTTAAACGTTTTAATTTGAGTAGTACCGACAAAATTGCAAATTATATATATATATATATATGTGTGTGTGTGTGTGTGTGGAAGGAAGTAGATGAATTATAGTTTGGCACGTTGTATCGGTCACATTCATTTGATTAATAAGAGATGTAATTGCTTTGTTGGACATGGAGGCTCCAAAGCGACCACTGACCACCACCAACCCTATTCAAACGTCTTTATGTTATTATCTCTATTAATATGATCACGACCTTTGGATCAAATTTCCTAGCTGCTTCATCTTGGGAATATTCAAACCCACGCATGTTCATGCATGATTTAACTCCTTTTTCTGTCTCAAGAGTCTCTGTCTCTACTTGAAAAAGAAAAAAAAAATACACATTTAGACAAAAGGAAACATATATATATATATATGTGTGTGTGTGTATTTAATATTTAATGATCAAATATATTTGGTTGAAACATCCATTTTGAAATTACCATGTTTACTTAAAGAATAGAAGAATTCTACGATAGACTAGAAAAGATTACCTTTTTACTACTGCGTAGTTTGAATTTCTCAACCGCTATGAGAAATCTATATTTTTTTTTAATAGAAACAAATCTATTTATTTGAAACACGCGTTGAAATTACCATGTTCATATTAAAAGAATACAAAAATTCTAAGATAGGTTAGGAGAAATTACCTTATTAGTAATGTGTGGGTCTTGATCATTAAATAGGGAGAAAGAGATAAATAAGCCAAAATTTGAGATGAATTAAAATTAATAAGTTAATAGTTTACATAAATTAATAAATAGGTCAAATTACTGTTTTCGTCCATAATTTGTCTGGTTATGAACCATAACTTGACAAGTTATTGTCCATAAATCACGATTTTTGTCCATAACTTGTCCGGCTATGAACCATAATTTAACAAGTTTGTCCATAACTTATCTAATTATGAACCATAACTTGACAAATTATGACATATTAATTTTTATAATTAAAAATTAGCCTATATACTCCCTTAAACTTTTCATATTAGCCTATTTTTTACTATTTTGCTAAAAATATTGTGCATTAATGAGGCCTTCTATCACATGTTATACCATTTGCTTAAACCCTTTGATCTAATTGCTGGGAGAGGTTTAGCGAGAGTTTGCGGGTTCGATTCCATATATAAAAATGTAATTTTTATTTCTTATTTTACAGGATGACTCATGATCCACGTGCTTTTCTTTTTCTTTTTTTTTTTAAAAAGAAAAACCTTTCCCAATAAATCAAAAAAATGGAAGAAAAATAGTTGTTCAAAATACATATACAGTTGAAAGTGCAGATGACGCATGTATAGGTTTAAGGTTCTCTTTCCTGTTTTCCTCTCTGCATTTTAGTCAAACAACACGGACTAGAAATAGTCGCTGTTTTGCATTTTCCACATCCATTGAATCTCAAAAGATCAATCAAATAAAATATTCCCATTCATTTCATAAATTCGAGTTTTACTACAGTAAAAAACTCTCAGTCACATCTAATTTTTTTATTACAGTAAAAAATTCACATAAAATCACATCTCAATTTAAATTAAAAATTTGAATCAGCGAACTAAACGAGCCCAATTATAACGTATGACCATATATCAAAGGCAAAGGTAGCATACAATGAAAACATGCACACTAATACGAAACGTGTAAAAAATATATGTAGGTACCGTTCATTTTACCAATTTGAGTTTTGTTACAGTAAAAAGCTCTCAGCAACAGTCACATGTAACTTTTTATTATAGTAAAAAGTTTTCATATAAAATCACATCTCAACTTGAATTAAAAACTCGAATCAACGAACTAAATGAGCCTGTAATTATCTTATCACTTTGAGTTAATATTTCAGATGAAACGTTTTGAACCCGGCCGGGGTAATTATATATACATATAAAAAGTAATTAAGTATATAAAATATGCAATTCTAGTAACTATAGATATACAATGAAAAATAGTAATGGCAAGGCCAAAGATATATATATATATATATATATATATATATTGAAAGATCTAATCATATTTGTAAATTTTTAAATATGCATAGAAAGTATAACTCATCAATAATCTGCAGGCACATGTTTGGACCAAAGTAAACTGCTCTATTATTACCAGAAAAGGTGCCGTGTCACTAATTTATAATAACGTTTTCCATATATTAGTACGGCTAACAAATTATTGCACTGCCTTCTAGAAAACAACCAAAAAACTAACGAACAATTTTTTTTTCTTTTTTACTTGTGAATATAACGTGTTTCATCAATTTTATAAAAAAAAATCGTGTTTCGTACTAGTATATATAATATGGCTATAAAACGCAGAAGCATAAAACTAATAATTGATCTCTCTTTTTTAAAAAACTAAAATATTTTCTAAATAAACTATTAATTAAGCTACTTTGTTGTTTATTATTAAACCATTTATCAACTATGTATATATATATACATATATATATATATATCCATGATTTTTTAATATTATCAATTTGAATTCAAATCTAGAAGAAAAGTATACCAGCACGAAATCAAAGTTCGGTCAAAACCAACCAAGGAGTATTATAATAGTAAAACATTAATTTTCAAATAATAAGCCCAGCTTTATAAAAAAAAAAAAAAAAATTTAAATAATTACTTTACCCCAAACTTCATCATGAATCCTCCAAAATGTTTATGACCAATCTAGTAGTATAATGATATTGTGATATCACTAAATTACGTGCCGTTTACGACATCTCAATTAATGTAGTACTAGTAGCTAGGATAAGATATATGGCCCAATGTAATGTTAATTTTGTTAGGCATCAGACCAGTCCATCCATCAAAGCCGCCACATTATCTTTAATAATTTCAATCAAATCCCACCTCTAGTAATATA